TTGGCTCTCGTGGACTTGTTTTAATTGTCTTCTACCTCAAGTTAAACTCGCATATGAGCAGTTAATGGTCTGTTCCACAATCAGCTCCTGGCCTTGCTTTGGCTAAAGATATTGAACTTCTCCATTGCCTCTTGCTACAGATGTAGTCACTCTGCAGACAGAACCACATGATTCAAGCTGTCCTTAGGTAATAGTGACAGCTCTGACCTGAGTGCATTAGAAAGTTCAAAAAGTAAATTAGCATAGAGATTTAGCCTTGAAGGTATTCTGATACATGTATGCTAGGCTTATGAAAAATGTTTTTTTGTTGTTATAACTAATATGGTTTCATAAAATGGTTTCATAAAAAATAATAAATTTCTGCTGAAACATTGTATAAAAATTTTATAGACAGTCATTTTGGTGTCACTCCCTCAGATAGTGTCACTTGGTGTCATCTGTACTACCTCTCTATCCCCCTAGTGACATCAGTGGTGAGAAGGTAAAGTATTTCTGAGATGTCTCATTGACCAATTCCCATCTTCCTCCCCTTTGCTTCTGCTCCTCAGGCATCAGGGCTGCCTTCCACGCCCTTTCTTGTTGACTCAATGTTATCTTTTTGCATCTGCAGAACTCAGACATTCTCAGCACCATTGGTTATGACAGCATCATCCAACATCTCAACAATGGCCGCAAGAACTGCAAAGAGTTTGAAGACTTTTTAAAAGAAAGGTACCATGTTGTTTTGTTCTCTGAAGACTGGGGTGGGTGTGGTGGGGAGGTGGAGGGTGGGGGGGAATTCTCCCATTCAAACAAGGAGCAATTTTCCTTTTATTTTTAATGGTTCACAAGATCCCTCTGCTATTGCCTGTAGAACTGTACCCAAGAAGTAAATGATAGCCCTGCACTAATGTTTTTAGAAATCAGTTTGGGAGATAAGAGGTATGAATGACAAAGCAAACAAAATATATTAAAATACAAAGTGGTGTGGTCTGCCTAACAGTGAAAGGCCTCAGGGGAGAGAGGTTGGAGAGGATTGGCTAGAGAAGAAGGCACAGCTTTATGGAGGAGGAGACCGTTGAGGTAGCAGTTGTCGGAGAGTGAGGTGGATTTCATAGGGAAAGGAGTATCGAGTGAGCCAGGAGGTTGGAATGATGGAGGCAAATACTGAATTGGAGCCTACAGAGGGTAAAGAAGTGGTGAGAAATGTGGAGGGACAAATTTTGAGATGGTCCAGTGGGCAGTGGGACTGGGTGGTCTATGGGAAACTGGCATGGTTTGGAAGATTTTCTTTTTTGTAATGGATGAGATTTTTAAAAAAATCCTATATTGATGGAGATGCTCTGGTGGCATGGTGCCTAAGGCATTTGACTGCTAACCAGAAGGCTGGCAGTTCAAATCCACCAGCCACTCCTCAAAAGGAAGATTGGGCAATCTACTTCCGTAGTGATATTGCCTCGGAAACCCAAGGAGGGGTCGCTGTGAGTCGGAGATGACTCGACAGCACATAACAACAAAACAACATATTTGATGGGGTAAGTTAGTTTTATGGAAATCTTATTCATCCAGATACTCCATTTCTCAGTGATTGTGGATAAAGGAGTGTTGAGGGTTTTTTTTTTTTTTTTTTTTGACCAAAGATCAGGGCCCTTGCCATTACCTGCCTTAATTAACAGGTTCTCTAAGGCAGTGAATGAGTGACAAGTTCAGAACTTGGAGAGATCAGAATGGTTTCAAGAGAGTGTCTTTGTTTTCTTCTCAAGAGATTATTAGGTAATGATCAAACTTACCACACTGGTTGCCTAGCCCTCTGTAATGAGGCCTCTCTCTTTGAGCTGTTACAAAGGCCTGAGGGGACTGGAGCACTGCCCTGCTGTGAGTTTCAGGAGGGGTGGATAGACAGAGGAACAGCCATTATTCCTCATCTTTGAAAGGACCAACTCCCTCTTCTATACTCGAGAGGGTTGATGGTGAGTTCCTTTCTCTTAAAGGAGGTGGGCAATAGTGCTGATCAGCTTATTCTCCACAGGGTGCTGTCAAACATCTAGAATGGTCTAAACCTGAAACAAGTGTCCTCTCAATTATTTTCATAAACTTCTGGAGAAGAATCACTTAGGAGTAATTTTTCTTGTGGCAAATAAACAATTATTTTAAGTTCAGTTTCCATTTTTCTGTAAAATTCAAATAAAAATTATTTATTTGA